AAACATCTACCAGACTACACAGCGCAACAACTCAGAAGACAGAAATCTTCATACTCTGATGACTGAGGCAGTATGACCTCTGAAACGATGGTAAACATCTACCAGACTACACAGCGCAACAACTCAGAAGACAGAAATCTTCATACTCTGATGACTGAGGCAGTATGACCTCTGAAACGATGGTAAACATCTACCAGACTACACAGCGCAACAACTCAGAAGACAGAAATCTTCATACTCTGATGACGGAGGCAGTATGACCTCTGAAACGATGGTAAACATCTACCAGACTACACAGCGCAACAACCCAGAAGACAGAAATCTTCATACTCACCGTTGTGAAAACCTCAAATCTTACAATTTTGTTATTGTTTGTGTGTTATAATTAGTGTAATTTAACAAATTTAATATGCGTAATACAGTACAACAAGATCTGATATCATCTTTTGTAGCGGTTTATTTCGCAAGTGTTTAAAATGAGGTTTGCCATTGGACGCAGTTGGCAAGATCTTGTATCTTGAAGCCTTGCTTTACCTGTGGTCGGCCGGTTTTGTGTGGTAGAAATGTCTGACGTTATATAATCACTCCGGAGACATTACAGAGCTCCACAAACATTTAGGCCTATATTTATATATAAAAACATACAATCTATCATCTCCGCTTGTACGCGTTGATTTTGAATTGTATTTGGCGTAACATAATGTAACGTACTGTGTTTCAGCGTCTATAGGCCAAATATGAAAACCCACATAGGCCCAGTCTATTTCACTTAGATACATTTTCTTTAATCACTGCAATTAAATTCTGGTCTTGGACGCTCCTATCCATGTTTTTTGGAATACTATATCATTTACAGATCACCCTACCTTTGACACTACCTGACAAATACAGTTGATGAAGTGTTATTAAATGCCCACACAACTGCTGTTCCTAGCGGCCACTTTCCGGCAAGATTTTCTATAGAAATGTTGGATTTATATAGTAGTTTCAGCTGTCTGATCATGGAGTCGAAGAGTTTTTCACTCTAAGTGTAGGTTGTGTCTCATCGCTGCCCTTGCGACACACCAAATGTTTCAGAAATTCTGTACCAGAACAATTTAAAACAAATCTCTGCCATGTAGGATTTGATGTTTTCACGGCGTTGAGTCTGAAGATGGCTGTCTTCTGGGTTATGACGCCATGTAGTCTGGTGGAAGTTTACGGACGACTGATGATGGAGGCAGCAAGGATCTCTGAAACGTCGGTAAAATTCTACCAGACTGCAGGGCGCAACAACCCAGAAGACAGCCATCTTAAGTCTCTATATTTTCACTGTACAAATAACTGACACAAATAACGAAAATTGCTTTATCTTTAAAATCTTTCGTTTGATTACAGTAGCCGACATTTGATGTTTAATGTCGTAAGTGCTTCTTCAGTTTTACTCGTTTTTATAACCTGAAATGTTAAATTTTAAGTTGTGATTTGAATTTATTTTTTTAACTTAAGGTTTCTTTTTCGTTCGCATGAGTTCGCGGAATTTTAAAACCCAAATTCAACAAAACAACCCAATAAATTAAAATCACAACAACAAAAATATTTTTATATGATTTCTGCCCAAAATTTTGAAGAAGAAACCATTTTAAAAATGTAGTATCCAGCCGTATCCATGTTTAATTTCGAGAATTATATGACGTACGCCAACTAAACTTATTATTAGGAGTACAAACTAAGAGCTGTCTAGAATAATTAAATATTGTACACACCTGTCACCTACAACCCATATACTGTTACTAATACATAGGATCCACTGCTTTAAGATTAGGTTAGCACTGCTAAGGGTCTAACATTGTCGTCTGTACACGTGAGGAACTTCATCTCGACCATTTGCAAGGGAAGGCGTGTTCTGGTTCTGTCCCACCACAAAAATTTTCTATTTGCAGAACTTGCTGTGACCATCATGTGGGCAGCGAGACAGGAAGGGTTACACGACGATCCTCTGCCGGTTTAATCCCAGCATGGCCCTGTACTACATATGCGCAGCCCAGATCAGTCGCCTCTCCTGCCAGACTGTGGAATTGTTCACTGACGTGTCTTCGGGTATCAGAACAAATGTTGACGTCCACCTCCAACGCAATGCCCATTGGACAACGGGGCTTCGTTCCACTTGGAGTTAAAGCAACGTACCATGAAGTTTTCAACTTGACTTGGACTAGTGCTGAGCTGAAAATACGTTACTTGGTTTAGGATCGGGCAATTAAACCTGAAAACTAAAATAGTGTAGTTGCGTCATATTGTGATTTATTAAATTAAAATTAAATTATTTGATTATTCCGTCAAATCACAATGTATTTAAAATAAGATAATTAAAATAATTAAAATATCATTCTGTGTTCCATATCGAATAATCGATTTACAATTGGATATTCGATATGGAACACAGAATGATATTTTAATTATTTTAATTATCTCATTGTGATTTGACGGAATAACCAAATAATTTAACTGAAAACTAATTCAAGTTGTCTACCAGTGACTTGTAGCAGGGTTATGGTTCATTGCAGAATGAATTCGGTTTTCTGTCACGTTAAATAGCGGGTAATATTCGCCCGTCTGTAAATTGAAGTCTCAGTTTACAGTGATGAATTTCGATTTCTTTTTTGTACTACGGAGTGTTTATTGAAATCGGAAATTTGCCTACTAAAACATTTGTAAGCCTTCCTCCTTAATTTTTGTTTATTAGGACGAACATACAGATCAGTTTTACAGCAAATAATTAAAATGTTTACCACCTCGAAGACAGCATTCAACTATTTAGTATGTTTCATTCGACTTTTGCGAAAGATTTTCTGTGACAGTTTTCATAACAATCTGTTCAGTGCTGCGTTTCAATCCATCCAGGCTCGGTGGTTTATTCGAGTAAACTGTTTCTTTGAGAAATCTTCACACAAACGAGTCTGTCGCGGTAAGATCCGGAGATCACGGTGGCCAAAAGCCGCGCCCAGCAATGCGCGTACCAAAGAAGTAAATGTAGCGAACCAGTTGTTGTGTTCACAGCGAGGGATGTTACCCCTTTATGTTGAAACCATAAATAACTTTAATTTTCTCCCATGAGGCTATGATATCAGCGTGTACTTTGTTTTGTTCTGTACTGCCTTGTATTCCTAAATGCTTCACGATTTCGATGCGAAGTTATATTCGAGAACTACTATACGTTCTAGTCTTGAATACACAAAGCTGGCGTGAACAGCGGCCTAGCAACTAAGGGCGACCTTCATTCCAGTGTCACTATTTGGGGGTAGAAGGGTCTATTACACTAATTAGGACCTGTTTCTGACTTAAGTTCTGTACCGCAGTCCATGTTGGATAAAAGGTTGCGTTTCGAGTAGTACCGCTCAGTATATACATGTAGATTTTTACAGCAAAATGAAACTTTTGAATCCCGTCTGAACGCAAAATACTTGTAATACCGAGTACCAGCCAACGACGAAATAGCGTTTCGTGAGGTGAAGCAGAAGATGTTAAACCCGCATTAAATAATCAGATAAATTAATCGCATTTGAGGTTTTCACGGCCGTGAGTCTGAAGATTCCTTTCTTCTGGCTTGTTGCGCTGTGTAGTCTGGTCGATGTTAACCAACGTTTCTGAGGTCATACTGCCTCCATCATCAGGGCGATGAGTATGAAGATTTCTGTCTTCTGGGTTGTTGCGCTGTGTAGTCTGGTGGATGTTAACCGACGTTTCAGAGGTCATACTACCTCCGTCATCAGAGTATGAAGATTTCTGTCTTCTGGGTTGTTGCGCTGTGTATTCTGGTAGATGTTTACCAACGTTTCAGTGGTCATACTGCCTCCGTCATCAGAGTATGAAGATTTCTGTCTTCTGGGTTGTTGCGCTGTGTAGTCTGGTCGATGTTAACCAACGTTTCAGAGGTCATACTGCCTCCGTCATCAGAGTATGAAGATTTCTTTCTTCTGGGTTGTTGCGCTGTGTAATCTGGTCGATGTTAACCAACGTTTCTGAGGTCCTTGCTGCATCCAGTATCAGAGCGATGATGTTGAAGGCAGCTGGAACCTCTGAACCATTGTTAAATTTATACAAGACTACAACCCTGAATACAGCCATCTTTTCTGGGAAGTGGAAAGAATCGCTCCACCTAAGGTAACATAGCCACCGTAATTATCTTTCAAGTGATTTTAATTGAACGCGCTGTGTTCACACTGACATCTCTGGTGACGGCGTAGAAACAGTCTATAGCTGTTATGGCGGTTCAAGATATCGTCGTTTGTTTATGGCGAAGAAAAATCTCATTGTAGGTACGCCTTTTCTAAGTTTTGATCTTAACAGATTGCACGGTAAGGGTAATTAGTGTCCTTATTTATTAAAACAAACGATAACATTTGAAAGTACAAATATGCATGTCTGTTCCTCTGAATCTGCAGTCTTGTAACATACTGTGTTCAGGGGAAATAAATAATGTGTTATGTTAATCACGTTTGGGGTAATAGTACCTTATGGTGCGGCATTGCCCAGTACCAGGCTGTGTGATGACATAAAGTCTTCTTTCGGCCCCGGCTTATGATCTATTAAGCATATTTTGTAGTTGATTTTATCTGGGAAACATTCTATGACTTCCCCATGTTATTAGAGCTGTCACATTTTTATTTTCCTCTGTACGTATCTTAATTAAATGCAAGTTCCTAGTTACGTATATTTTGTATTAATATTTTGTCCTTACGCATTAAAATACTTAAAAGTACCTTACAAAACACCGCGAATAAACAAACACACTTATTTACTGAAATAATTGTCTTTATTTTCATGGGATTTGTATAGAATGTTACTGCCCAAGGCACATGGCAGAATTAACCCTATATCGGGGCATTTCCGCCAAAAGTGTTTTTACAAAATTTTGTCATAAAATTACAGTTAGAGTAGAAATTGATACAAAATTCTCCGTGTGTTTTCTTCATGATGAATAACTCTATAAGATTCAGCATTTAGTTTTTATAAACATCGTTCATGAAGAAAGAAAACTTATTTTCCCCTCACTTCTCCTATTCACCGCTGTGAGAATCTAAAGTTGTACTATCTCTGATAAATTTTGAGAATTTCACTTTTTGACCTCTGCATCGCATTTGGAAGGTCTGGGGTTCAAACCACGGTCCGGAAACAGGGTGCTTCAACTAATATTCTCGTGATATTCGTCAGTCCTTACACGAAAATTCTCTGACACTATATTCATTCTCCACTTGCCGGCTCTTTTCAGTTTATAATAGCAGTTATTCCCTTTTTGACTTTAAGATCTGTGTAGGAAGATTCTTTAAAGTACCTGAGTAAGTCAGTTAGTAATCTAAAACTGAACTGAGTTGAATTATTGTCCGCTGAAAAGTTACGTGATTGTTAATTTGTCTCTGAGATATAGAATTGTGGACAAGGATGAATAAACAACAAGCAGAGTTTAATTTCTCGCCAAAAGCATTGGACTTTGTACTGTACACAAAGATATGCAAGACAAATTTTTCTCTTTATTACTATTAAATTATTTTCATATTATATTATAGCGTCATATTAGGAAATATAAGAAACAATTATTACGTGTTATTTGTCCGTCTTTGCACAAAAGGGTTCGCATGTTCAATTAAACTCTCTGAACATTCAAACCTTGTTGTTCAAAGACGGACAAATTATATCTAAGAATTATTTTAAAGCGTTCTTTATCTCTTTAAACCACAGTGGTACATTTTCCTGCTTTACCCTAGCTTTAACGTTCTTTAAGTCTGCATTCCGCCCAGAGATGGCGTTTATGCATTTCGTTTGAATTCTCAGAACAAACGACCGTCATTTCCCTAAACATTATTAACCAATTACTCTTTACAACAGAGAAGCATTGTGTTTTATTTGAAGTATTAAACTAATTATTATATATTATTTAAATGACATACGTGCTTCAAATGGTTAGTTATTATATATGCTATCATTTGAATTACGGGTTATCATAAGATATGGCCATGAAATTATAATTAATGTCGGAAATTGTGTGAGATCGGCGTTTCTTTCAAAAGACCTGCTTCTTAAAAACTTCATCTGTACTGCTTTGAATCTTCTGTTATCTTCTTTGGTCACTGACGACGTTTCTGCTATTTGTTTGTATGGGTATGCTGTAACTTTAAATGAGACATATTTTCTCCTTGGGCATTTCAGATTTCCAAACTGTCATTAACTGGTAAACGTTTCATATATTTTTTTATTATTTCTATAATTCCTCCTTTATTATTTCCGATTGCAATTAATTTTCTTAATTACCTTGTAGTCTAGTAACAAGACATATGCACTTAAGTTATGTGTTCTTATTAGGCAAATGCTGGCTGTTTTACTGTTTCATTTAGGTTTAAATCATTAAAGACGTATCCTGAAACTGTAACAATGGAACTTGTAATTATTTTATGCAGTCTCGTTTGTCATTTGTTCTACAGAAATTATGACGACATTCTGTATTAAAAAGGAATGTTTAAACGTGAGTATTCAAGTTACATGAATTGAGTTTATCCTGATCTCTGGCTCCTTATTTACATAACGAAAAAACGTAATTATTTTACAAACTACTTTTACGTTCATTGCATTATTGTTTTATACTGAAAGATAAATATTTACAATGTGTTAAATAGGAACTTAATACAAGTAAAATGACGTAATTCCACTATTTTAAATGTGTCATACAAAACATTTATTTTCTCTTTCTGTAAAATTTAGTTGAATAATTATGAGATTATTTTAAATTAGTCAGAACTATCAAGTATATTAAAAATGCATTACCAACCCTGGATAACTAAAATTTACTCTGCCTGCGCAAACATTTAGGCCTATATATGTGGATGTGCGGCCGAATAAACTGATTTACCAATGAAGAATAAATCTGACAAAGCCCATCCTTTGAGGTATTTTATCTGCAAACATGGCGGTCACAGCTGCTTATTCAGTTCAAAAGACAACAGGCCCACAACTGCCATATGAAGATGACAGTCTTACGGGATACTGCGCGCTGTAACATCGTAGAAGTTGATCGACTATGGTAAATGGGATCACGTGTTTAATTGGGTAAATTTCAGACTTTGCCTTCTGAACGAAAACTTAGTCGAACTCAGATAAAAACTGCTGTCCAGTGGTGATGGGTGGAAGAATCGGTTTAAGCACGTAACTGCACGTTAGTGCTTGACGGCTTTTGGTTGAAATTAACAAACGGAACAACTACACGTCAAGTAGGTTGCAATGAATGGAGTCGATTTGAGTAGAGCTATATTGTGAAAAGT